TTTTTTTTTTTTTTTTCTTTTCAGTCTTTATTTCGAACAGATTCAAAAATAACAAATAAAAAATAACAAATGTGAAAAACAGAATACCGTATTGTTATAATACAGTATTTATCCACATTCATGGTAATATTTGTATATTCAACAAAAAAACAAAAAAAAGTCTTCATATTAATAATAATAAATCATATGTGTCCGAAAGGAGTAGGAGGAAGCAAATGCTTATTAATTCCCACCCCTTACTTGATCAATGATTGTCCTTTAAATCATTATGCAAGTTATTCCTACTTAGATTTACATTTATACATATACAATCATTTCTCGTCTTCAATCACCTTTCTTCATTCTCATATTTTTCCAAAAAAGTGTTTCTGTACATCCTTTTAAACTGAATTATGCTTGTGCTTTGTTTTAACTCCTGCTCCAAACCATTCCATAAAATCACCCCACAGATTGTTAAACTCATACTTCTCAGAGTTGTTCTGACCTTGAGTTGTTTAAAATGTAGATTTCCTCTCAAAGTATACCCACTCTCTCTGTCTACGAACAATGTTTTTAATTTCCTAGGAAGTAGATTATGTCTGGCTCTGTACATGATTTGTGCCGTTTTAAATTTAACCAGATCAATGAACTTCAATATGTGTGACTTCAAAAATAATACATTAGTGTGTTCAAGATATCCAACATTATTGATAACTCTTATAGCCCTTTTTTGTAATGTGCATAACGGCTGTAGGTTGGTTTTGTACGTGTTTCCCCAAATCTCCACACAGTAAATCAGATATGGCAATATTAGTGTGTTATATAGAGTATGCAATGAGTTATAGTCCAGAATGTATCTGGCTTTTCCCAATATTGCGATAGTTTTAGCCAGTTTTGCTTTTACATGAGCGATATGAGGTTTCCAGCTGATTTTGTGGTCTAAAACCACACCAAGGAACTTCATTTCATATACTCTTTCTATGTGTATGTTATCTAGTATTAATTGTATCTGTGGATTTGTTTTAGGTTTTCAACAAATTCAACAAATTGTTGTCTGTTGCTTAAATAATCTCTCACCCAGTTTAATCCCACCCCTCTGATGCCATACCGTTCCAGTTTCATCAGTAAAATATTGTGATGGTGTCAAATGCTTTTTGTAAGTCTATAAATATTCCCACTGCTTGTTTTTTATTGTCCATGCAGTTTGCTATTTCCTCACTTAATTCCATTAGTGCCATAGATGTTGATCTATCTTTCCTGAATCCATATTGACTGTCGTCCAAAAGCTGATGTGTTTCCATGAAACTGTGCCGCGGAAAACTGTACAAATCCCGTTTCAATAATTCCCCTCTACTCTAAAGTCGCATCTAAAACGTGATCTGATCTAGCTGTATATATTTTGTTATTTTTGATTGTTATATTCAATCTCACTAGCTACAGGCATGTTTGAAGCTTGTAAAGGGAAGATGACAGCTCTCACTGGCCACTCTGCTGTTCCTCAGCGCCGCCCCCCCTCCCTCCAGCTGAAATTATGAATGTAAGGTGCTAATCATAGATAACACGGCAGGGTCGGTTACAGTTTGTTTTTATCTGCTTTCAAATAAGCAAAGTCTTGGCTTTCAGAATATTAAACTTGTTTCGGCAAATTCAGATGATAAATACAACTTTGAAGCTTCGGCATAATTACAAGCGGAGAACGGAGTAGCTTAACGTCAAAGCAGGTATAAAAACAGCCGGTGTTTCTTGTGAGTGCAGTAATCCAAACGAAAATATCTTCCCTCCGTAGTATTTTGATCATTTGCTCCGCTAATAATCAATCATGATGATTGATGATGAGAAATGATGGATTCCAGAGAAGAGAAAACTTTAAAGGCCTTTTTCTCAAAATGATGACTCTGTAACAGTCATTATATAATGTGACATATTTTGCTTAATATTTGGAGTACAAAAACAATCCTGATATCATTAGAAAGCTAGGAATCAAAATGTGTCTTCGGGTCAATGCGACTGATTTCGATGGAGCAGCAGGTCACTTTGCATTAGGTAAAATAAAGCAGGCAGACATAACAGGAAGAATATGTACATTTTAACCCAATCAAATAGGACATTGTCACACCATTCAAATGTATCCATGTAAATTACAACCAATAAAAAAGCTTAGATTTGTTTATTTGTTACATTGTTTACTTTATTTGTTACGTTGTTCTGTGTGTGTCAGTCGTTAACCTAGAGATAATATATACACTTGCAAACATGTCAGAAGAACCAGCACAGAAGAAAACTAAATACAGTCAATCTAAACTTAAATTTAACAACTGGAAGGTCACATCCCTGACATCCACATCTCCGGAGCCTGGACCTTCATCAATCATAGAAACAGCGAAGCCAGATGAACCCAAAAGCAGCACCTCTGCGGCCGCAGAAACTGTCAAAACCGCCGCCGCCCCCACCGCCGCCGTCGTTGAACCGAAACAGGCTGGTTCCGACTGCATGGAGGTTTGTTGTCGGGACATTGAGACGGGTAAAGCTGTACAGCTAACTATCGGAAAAAAGGAGACCGCTAGTAGATTATTTGAGCAAAGAGAAGGTACTTCAACGCAGAATGGTACAAAAACAGAGAGTGGTTCATTCTTTGCAAAACCACTAAACGATAGTGATAAATTGCGATGTTAACAACCTCATGATAACCTCATATTTTTTTAACTTAGGATCATACCTGTGTTTAGTCTAGAAAAAGGTAAATGTGTGCATTTTATTATAAAGTTGTGTATATTTACAGACTATTGCAAAATCTAAGAAGCTTATAAACATCAGGTTTAAAACTAAAAGAGCTTTACAAAAAAGTAACACAATTAAAGATGTTTGGAGTTTTATTTGAGTTATTCATTTACATTTTTTGTCTAAGAGATGCTGATTTGAAACCGTTGTTAGGCCTACATACAGTTACGCATTTCCTGTTTCTGCTGGAGAGAGGGGAGTTTGTCCCAAAGCTTGCTGCTGTATTTACACCCTATACTGACAGGAGGGAGCCTCATGTGTCACTCCACGGAGTTCACTCCGTCACGGAGGGTGTGTGTGTAGGTGTAGGGCGTGGTTTGGGATTGGGCCATACACACGCACCTTTTTTGGCCCCCCCACTTCTAAAATGAATCCGGCGCGCCTGCCTGAGACCCACTATTTACAATGCTGTTTCACATTGTTGTGTATGTAGTAAATAAAAGCTTTAAATTCCTCGAAACTGGGAACCAATGAGCATCAATACATATATTTATTTATTTCCTATTTATATATGATTTTCTATTCAATTTTTGCAGCAAACTCTGAGAAGCTGTTTGTCATAGCGTTAGAACTATTAACGAAGCACTTTTATACTAATAAAGGACTGGCTTACCTAAAGCCAGTTGAGTAGCACTTGAAATGTTTGGCTCTATGAAACCTGATGTACTTATATGATTCTGTTTTCTTCAAGGTTGTGTCTTCCTGGTCGAATGTACTTATTGTAAGTCGCTTTGGACAAAAGCGTCAGCTAAATGCAATGTAATGTAATTTAAAACACCTTTTGCTGTATTGTTCCCGCAAGGTGAAACTAATAAATACAACAAAAACGTCTATGCCTTGTCTGGACAATGGATTAATTACCGGCTCTGATCTGCGTAAGATCTGCGTAAGATCTGCTAACTGGTGCCTCAGTGGCCTTTTGAAACGTTGTTGTTGTTGACAAATAGCCACTACAACATCTGTTTTGGAAGTAAGCATCTGGTTGCGGTCAATTCGTTTTTGGGCTAACGTTTGTTTTTCGAACTTTATTTTGAGGCATTGAATGCAGCACAAGGTGTCATGTGATCCATGTGACTCAAAGCAGCTGGATAACGGAAACGGAGAGAGGGAGACATTTAAAGACCAAAAACACTGAATGGAAATGTGGACGGTATTCATTTACACAATAATACGAGTATCTGTGTCTGAACAAATGTGAAGAATAAATAATAAAGGACAGCCATTGATTGGACAGTGAAGGTGCAGAGCATGCAAACGATTACCTACACGTCACAATGGACACGTTCAGGACCCTGTAAACTCATCTGGTTCTGTTGAAATGAAACACTTGAATGTCTCTGCTTCTGAATGAAGCCCATCTTTAAAAAAAAAACGTTTTGCAGTTACATTTATTCTAATTGAATATGACTCAGGAAAAGTATTCTTACTTGTGTGTCACTGTGAAAGTCATTTTTTCCTTTTGTATTACCACCACGTAAAGAGGCAGTGTGCAGGATTTAGTGGCATCTAGTGTTGTGATTTCAGCATTGCAACACTGCAACTGAATACTCTCATGCATTTTGGGTTTTTATATTGTAGTATTTGTGAGGATCTACAGCCCCCTGCTGGTCACTCTGAAATCATCATAACCAATGGTTCCCAACCTTTTTCTTTAAAAGTCCCCCCACACATACCTGTCAGATGCATCCTGGGACATCTTCTTTACATCCATCTGTCCAAACTTGATGTCATTGAACACTTATATATTGTATTTACACTTGTATGCAATATAGTTACAGTATACAATCACAAATATCCCTGTTTAAGTGTGTGTGTTTGTGCAAATGTACACTTTAATTATAATGGCAGAAGATAGGGTAGATACCATAATTCAACCATTTATCCATTTTAACTTTATTTCTTATTGCTTGCCTACTTGTCATGCACTCACACACATATGTCTCGTTAAGAATATTACAACAAACTATACAACACACTGCAGCAAAGGGGAAAACCCCCAAAAGCAAAACAATACTTATTTATTATACATATACTAATTGGATTATTTCCTGCACTTTATTTTGTTATTAGTGTATGTAAGTATGAATGCTGCGTGTCTTTGTTGTATGTTGTCTATTCTGAATGTTTTGATGGCACCTTAAAATGAGTAGCTTTACTCTTCTCATTGTACTTGTATAAGGACAATACATTTTACTAGTTTAGTCTAATCTAATCTACTCCAATAAAAACTTCCAGACAACCAAGACATTTCAAACGTTGTGATTTATTGTGGTTTAAATGTAGTCACGTGAAAAGGTATATTGAACACAAAAACAAAATGTGATTTGCATCACCCTGCAGTCACCAGAATAATACTCACTTTATTATTTTAAAATGTCAGATTTCACCAATATATAATATATATATAGAGAAGTTGTAATCCATCTTTGGTTCATTGGAGCTTTCAGGCATAATGGCTGATCATTTGATGCTTACATTCAAATTATACATAAAGTATAAATGTCCTTAGATGTTATTAATATGCAACAAAGTGATGGGATAGAAAATAAACACCAAACACACAGAACAAAAATATTCAAAATCTTAAATCTTGAATACAACTTCATATTAAATGTTGAAGTGAAGAGGATGAACACATTTGGATGATTACTTCAAACTATACAATATTACATATAAAAGGCAGAAATCACAAAATTAAACCCTAAACGCATTTTTTAATCCTTAAATTTGAATATAAGCATTGAAGCATATTTCCTCTGCAGATACATTAGCAGCAAACAGCGTGGAGGAACTTAACACTTTATATAAAATGATTTCATTTGAGCTTCAGCTGATCTGATAAAGTATCTGAATAAACCATCAAAAAGTAAAATATACACTGAAGTACGAGGAGATATTTAATTTATAATAAACTAATATATTTTATTCTAACAATCATCTCAAAACTATTTTATATTTATTTATTCTATAAAATAATTAAAACTGTGTATTTCTCTTATATAGTGACTCTTTAAATAAAGTGCAATTTAAATGTTATCAGTCAGAAATAAGGCAAGCTGAAACAAATAATGTTTATGATCAATATAAGGTGCCAAAATAAAATCTGAATTATATAGTTTACAGTTGAGAGATTTCATAAACAATATCTAGTATGAAGGCTTTTTATATATTCTAGTTAATAGTACGATCAAGACATGTTCAAAGTGTCATGGGTTGACCCAAGTTATAATTTGGCAGTATATAAATTAGGTTGACTTTTATTATTAATAATTCTCTTTGTAAACATACTGCTGAATATTCGGTCCGGAAAAAAACCACATTTGTAATTTGGAAATAATGAATCTGTGAAACTCTTTGAGGCAAATTCAGTGATTTTCCAGCATATCTTTGAATTTCTACATTTATAAAAACATTATTTTGTTTGCTTATCTCTAACATACTGTCACAGTGGAGTGGCAACATGATAAATGTCTGAATATCATATATTTACTTCCACATTTAGCTAAATATTATTTGTTTTCTACTCGTATAGAGTCAGATTGATACCACTCTCATGTCTGTATGGTATATCCAACATTAGACCAAAGTTAATCCAACCTTTAAGCTAACATTAAGCTATAAATTAAGCTATAAATTAAGCTAACATTAAGCTAACCTTTGACTAATGTTAAGCTAACATTAAACTGAGAATAAGCTAACATTAAGCTAAGAATAAGATAATGTTACGCTAACATTAGGCCAAGATTAAGCTAAGAATAAGCTAACATTAAGCTAACGTTAAGCTAACATTATTATCATCATTTTTCAGTATGAAGGTTTGTTCGTGTCACTGCTGCACTACTAAACATACATTTTGAGGTACTATCAATGTGGTTCTGCTTTTGAAGACTTACTGTATCTCCTACAGCAATACCGTGACAATGTAATATTGCTTTACTATATTCTGTTGAACCACAAAGAAGGTAAAGGGTCATAATCAGAAAATCCAGATATCATCTTGTCCTCAAACATTATTAAGATTCTATCAGTGAATCCTGGATTAGAAAGACTGCTAAGGCATGCAACCTTTCTTCCTTACATTTATCTCCTAAAAGATTTGTTCATTGTGTTTTTTTTTAAATACAACTTCCTGATTCCAAACATGACGTGGCTGACTGAAAAGTCAACTTAACCTGTTCTAAGAAAGATAAACTGCAGGTTTCCAGAAAAGGTTTCTGAAAGTAGGCTGATGTGGTGTTTGAATGTCTGATTGGTAATCACTCAGGGATGTTTAAAACCAGTGAGAAAAGTTAGTTTTACAAAATGAAACTCACAATGAACTTCTGATATGGTTATGACCTCAGCTCAGATGCTAACATCCAAAACTACATATCTCCTAACTCTTTTTATCCTTAGATCAACTAGTGCCAATGAAGAACAAGCCTATTCTAAAACTGTTAAATGCTGGCCTATGGTACTTGTAGTTTTCTTGAGAACCACCCATATAAAATTCACACTCCACATTGCACTTCCTCGTGTCCTGAGCAAACCGAGCCATTCACCTCGTCCAACGTGTCTATTGCATTGACTTTGTGTGTAATTGCGAGCAAAAATGTGGCTTCTTGTTTGGTGTGAACACAGTTAGTAGATCCAGCAACCATTTAACATTCCTAAATCCAGCGTTTATGCAACTTTAGCCTACCCAGCATCCATATCGTTCGTATATTCAGCAACCAGCAACACAAGTCAAAACAGTAGTAAATGAGCCGCGGTCTGCACACGATATCATATGGTCGACTCAATCTGAAAAGCCATACAAAGTTAAACTATATATATTGCGTGTCAAAATTGCACATTTTTAATTCAACTTATGTCTATATAAATATGTTTTTTTTTTTGTTCAATGGTAGTGCAAATGTCAAAAAACGAAATGTCCCCGTGGGATTAATAAAGTATGTTGATTGATGCACAACACTTCTATAAATTATTAAATGCTGTTGTCCACCAACCTTAGTTTTAAAAAGGTTTGGGTGTACAAACAGTGAATGAATCCTTTAATAATCACACCATTTCCATCATATCCATGAAACGTGGTAAGGAAATCCATCTTTATGCTCTTAAAGGCTTTTGTTTAGGAGGATGACGATCATGGTGGAAATAGTTCATGACCCCAGGCAGTAGATAAACATTTAGACCCTCACCTGAACACTAAACCTGAAGGAGAGAAAAGTGATTAAAGAAGATTTCCAGCAGTGATGATGACGATTGATCTCTATTTGAAAACAAAGCTCAGTTGAAGTGGTTCATGTGATTTGCTGGTGAACACATGTATACGTGTATCAACTTCACAAGCCGTGAATTGCAACCTTCACATCTAAAAATACCAACCAAATCAAACATTTGATTCATTTCCCCTCCTGGAGCCTTGTTGACTTCCCTCCTGCAAATCACAAAACCGATATTCTCTGAGCGTTGTCTTCGAATGTATGAAGAGTCTGGCAGGAGACACAACAGAAAGGAAAAGTAGAACCAAGTTAGGAGAAACCTGATGAAATCCAGCGTCCATTTTCACAGCAGTCTGGGCTTTAATGGGTTGCCCCTGACCGAGGAAAAGGCCCCGATGTGGGTGATGAGGTTGGGCTCCACGCTGTGAGCCCTTTCCCCGGGGATCGTCCTCGCCATCTGATACAGAACAATGTCTTTGGCGTTCCCCTTGACGCAGAACGAGCCGTCCAGATACTCCGCCGCCCTGAGCGAGGAGTTTCCGGGGAAGAGCATGGCCGGCGTGCAGCACTCTGTGGCCGGGGAGACGGCGTAGAGCTGTGGGGAAAACCTCCGAACCTCCAGCAGGTAGTGCCGCCCCAGAAGCTCTATGGCAGCCATGAAGTAGAGGGTGAAGAAGAGGAGATGGGTGACCGATAGCGTGAAGGAGAAGGAGCAGGGGTTCCAGTAAGAAAAGCTGAGGAGAAGAGCCGTCGCTCCAACAAGTCCGAGTCCAACCCACTCCAGGATGCGGTAAGGCTCGGGGTTCCAGTATCGCTGCAGCCTCTCCGGGTGATACAGCTTCACGTAGAGAGTCTGGAAGGCAAACGTACGGGACAGCAGGTGCTTTACGACGGTGAAGAAGTCCTGTTTGGGCAAAGCGTCGTCCTCCAGGACCACTATGTTCTTGGGCTGCACCAGCTCCCATCCCTTGCGGAGACAAAACACGTAGTCCCTCTTCTCCCTCTCGAAGGTGTTGACTGAATCCCTGTTCCTCCGCTTCTCCAGAGGGGAACGCCGGATCACCTTGAAGTAGTCCTCGAGAATCTTGGCATCTTGGTTTTCCTGTGGACCGCTTTCCACGTCGCAGACCAACACCTCTGCACACCGCTGCGATCCACAGCTTACCAGAAGGCCGCTCATCTGTCGCATCACCTGCAGCAGGTAGTGGAAGTCCCGCCCCTCATTTCGTTGCACTGAAACTACGATAACCAGCAGCTCGGGGTTCTGGGCGATGTCGTTGAACCTGGACGATGCTGTGGTGGAAGTGCTCTGCCAGAACTGAAGCGCGTCCTGGCCTCGGACAAGGCCTTCGTGCAGGACCTCCTCACTCATGGAGTCCAGGTACATAGTCTTGATGAAGTAGTAAGAGTAAAGCAGGCGATGGCAGCACAAAGGGAGGATGACGCAAAACGTGATGACGGACAGGACCAGGGCTTGAGTGACGGTGTTGGACCATCGCAAGTGTTGACTGAACAACGTTTTCCATCGAGGCATTGATGTAATATGCGGCTGGAAGCACACAAATGAAAAGAAGAGGTTCAGGTCAACATGTGCGTCATCCCAACAGGAAGCTTGCTTTAGAAAAACCCTCAGCAGTGAAACCTGATGAACCTGATCAGCTGTTGGCACGTCTTCTTGTAAATATAGATGTGAGTTTCAGCTCAGCGTTGGATCCCGTGCCTCAGCTCTGGTGTCTGTAGAAAGAGAAAAAAGGACGTTTTCTCAGTAATTGTTATCAACTGATGTTAATTTGCAGTAAACAAGGAAACCCACAGCCCCAGGCTACAGATCAAAATCATATCCCGTGGAAAATAATAACCCTGTCTTTCATAACCATTTTCATACTTTCTTATGTGGATTTTGGATATATTCTATAATAATAACTTTATCTATAAAGCAAGCAAATACAAAAACGGATGTAAAAACAATCATATGGTTGACAGGACATTGTTTTACTGATATTCAATCACAACAATGGTTACGTGAAAGACATGCAGACTGGCATACAACATTTGTCAGTAGCAAACAACAACATCAGGTGACATAGCAAACCAACAAGAGCAGCGTACACAAGCAGAAAGACAAGCAATACAAAACAGAAACAGCTAACAAGAACATGCATAGAACCACTTTAACTCGCAGACAGACAGACGTTAGATAACTTCAGTGGTTAGGGGAGCTGCATCAACAAGAATGGCCATAATAGAGTTCTTAAAGGCTGACTTGGGGATAAAAACGTCTAGTTTCAGTATTTTTTGCAGATTGTTCAAGTTGTGGCTGCAGCAGACCAGGGAGAGGACCGACTGAATACTGTACTTGTTTTGGGAACTTTCCACAGGATACGGAGAGCAGATTGGGGGTTGTAAGTAGAAGATTTAGTTTGAAACAAGTAAAAAAGGAAGGGGGAGGGGAGGGGAGGGGAATGCCAAACCAAGGAGTTTTTTTTAAAGGGGCCGTATACTATGCTCATTTTCAGACAGGCCGTGAAACAAATGAGGGGGGAGGGAACACAGACATGTTAGCCTCTGCAGGCTATTTAAATGCACACACATCTACATAACACACTACAGGAAAGGGATAACCCCAAAAGCATAATAGGGCTAATTTAGTAAGCATTAATATTTTCATAAAATGAATATTACGTGTTGTAAAGATGGCCAGATAACGGAGGAATAAAGACGGTAGTGGTGTGATTTCAATGGAGCTTTTTTTGGATTTAAATAAACAAAATATAACAGCTTCAAAGCCGTTTTATACAAGTGTGTTTTGAATATGTTTTGCATTAATTCAGCAAGCCTGATTTCCTCAGACAGGGCGTTTCCAAAGTCTTGAAGCTCCAACAAAAAGTGCACAGTTGTTAGCTTACGTTTTTAGCCGTGACTTTGGAATGAACAACAGGATATTGCCAGATAAGGAGATGCTAACCCAGATAGGTAATAATTAAAATCTAAAATACACAGGAAGCAAAGTAAAGTACAGTAGCTTAATTAGGTGTAATTTGGTCACATGTTTTCAGAGTTAAGTTCTGAGCTGCAGCATTTTATGTGAAAAGAGACGTGTGTGCAGGGAGTGGCAATAGTTGAGACGTGTTGAAACAAAAGCGTAATCAACTTTCTCAAGATTGGAGAATGACACATATATTGGATTTGGTGATATTCCAAAACTGACAAAAACAGGATTAATGGAGTTAACATAAAATGGAAGTACAGTCTTAATATTAAAAAACATGTCATGTATATTTTATCACATAAAGCTACAATAATAAACATGGCAGCTTAGATATGTCATGGAACCACCACGAATAGTTGGGGGTTTAATGCCTTGTTTACAGGCATCTTTGCAGCTACACAATAGGTAGACTCTCCTTTAGACTGTTTTATGTATTTCTGGTTAGACTTCTTCGTCACAGTAGCCTTTGCACAAAGACAAGAACAATGTCAACAATTGGAAAATAATCTCCTCAGTCAGTTTGAAAAGGGGGAGGAATTACACCACAACTATTCTGTCATTCATATGAGTATGTGCTTAAGATAAGAGGGTATTTATGCTCCCAGCCCCAGGGTGCTATGTTTCCTATCCTAATAGGTATTCCCCAGGGCTAACATGTTGAAATCACCTATAGGATATAGCATTAAGGTTTGAAGGCCATGAGCAAGATAGTATTTCTTGACTTTAAACATTGGTATCCCTACAGTCGCTGAATGGATCATTTTACTATTGAAGCTGCATTTACAACATCCATGTCCTTGTTGAACCTATTTTACAAGTCTCTTAAAAATGTGGACCCTGTGAACACATCCCTCCCTTAAGATAAAAACATGTTAACATGTCCTTTAAAGGGGACAGACATAAGGGTTTTAAACCTATAAATGATCTAACTCTTAAGAATCTGTGCCCTCCAGCTATTTCACACATACCTACCTTTACAGTCTGTTTATTATAAGGTATTTAATTTCTTTTAAAGCCACAAGTACGCTACATTAAGCTGACGCGTGTTTCTGAATAAACAACAACAATGAAAACGGACGACAGCATAATGCTAATGAATCACCACATTAATCCTACCACCGACTATCACATTAAACACCTGAATGGCGAGTTATATTAGATCAGACAGTTAATTTTTATTAGGACGTTTCCGGGTGTCCACAATGTTAGATAAAAGACCACCGTCCTGCTGAATAAACTCTGACATAAGAAAGGGGGTTTGGCAACAGCATAGCAGATATACACACATACATTCTGGTGAAACAATGTGAAGTGTAATGTAGTATTTCAGGAGATAATAACAGGAAAAGTAGACTCACGGTGAGTTGGAAGTAGCTGCTGTTCGCTGGCCGCTGCCATGTCTCAGGTACGGTAGTAGAGGCGCACGTCAAATACCGTAAAGCAGCGGAGACTGGCGCACATATTTGCGGCATCTGACCAGCGGGGGGCACTGCAGCACCTTCACTTTCACAGGCTTCCAAACTTTTTTCACCGAGGGCCACATACAGAAAAATATACGAAGGGCTGTGCCACTCCCTAGAGGTATATTGCCTCATAAGTTCCGTTATAAGTTGGAAAAATCAATCCAATGTAGGTAAATTATTCTTGATATTTGAGAAAAACGGCCTACATCACAGCTCTCCATAGGGTTTCATTTATTTTGTTAGCAGCTCATTCCTTAAATCAGAAGCTTCAGATTGCCTATAATAAGAGGAAATATGAAGGGTATATTTCAAGGTTGTTATGAAAATAAGTTATTGGGCTTTTTTATTATCAACTTAGATTTGTTAGAACATGTTTTCAACTTAAATTGACTGAAGTTAATTATACTTAAGTCATTATACTTTTGGAATTTGCTGAGGGCCGATTTTGAGGGCCACATTTTGATCCCCGGGCCGTAGTTTGGACACCCCTGCTTTATTGTCATATGCTCAGGAGCTAGTGCAGATATGGCAATGCAAAACTGAAGTCCCAGACTCCTCCAACAATGCAACATAGTATATATATATATATATATATATATATATATATATATATATATATATATATATATATATATAAGACTTAAAACAATAAAACAAAGGTAAAAATTAAAATAAAATAGAAATAGTGCAAGAGAGTAGTGTTAGGGAAACTTCTGCAGCAATGGAGAGTCAGGACTCAGAGAGACACGAGGAGAGTTGGAGCTTTGATGTCAAACACGGATCTTTAATACAAGCATCGGCCGGAGAAATTCACAAGTCACACAGTCAAAGGTTCTGACTGCACGGGTGGGTTGCCATGTCAAATCTGCCCAGTATCTCTCTCGATAGCCCATTTAACTAGTTTACAGAGAGTTAAACCACATATTGGGGGATGGGGCGTTAACACCTGCACTGAATCACTTATCTGACTCTCAGGCTCTGTGACCGAGAGTTGACCGGTCATAAAACTGAGACTAAGTGCTGGAGCACATGTGAAATTAATGCAGATTAAGTAAACTATAAAGAGTAATATATAGTCAGAATTCCAATAAGCTGATAAGATAAAGAGGCAGAAAACATTACATTACATTACATTGCATTTAGCTGACGCTTTTATCCAAAGCGACTTACAATAAGTACATTCGACCAGGAAGACACAACCTTGACATTAGTGAGTTATTATTCATGCTGGAAATAAAAGTAGGTGCATTTACTCAGATACTGTACTTAAGGTGCACCATGAGGTACTTGTACTATACTTGAGTATTTCAATTTCATGCTACTTCTTATTTTTTACGTCACTTAAGTTTTTTTACTTTCCAAATTCAGGTTATTAATAAAAATGATTATTATTTTTGTTATTATTACTATTATTATATATGAAACTATAGGAGTATATAAACTTAGCTAAAATGAATTCAAACTTTACAGCTGCCAGCCTGCAACATTAAATATATATTATATTATTCCCATTGTAAAGTTACATAGCTTTAAGTGGTACACATATTTTTGCAATGCCTTAAAAATAGTCCTAAATATACAGATACATTCACATACAGGGCTTTATCAACATTATATCTTTACAAGCTCAATGATTTGACTACATTTTTGTTATCTGTACAATAATTGTTTAGTTTAATTTGAATAATAGTTGTAACATAATTATATATTAAGCATAGTCACAGAAATACAGAGGACATGTTTGTCTTTATCAGAAGTTTCATCTGTGGTTTTCACGTCAGAGTGAAGTTAACCAGCGTCAGACATCCTTCAGATCAGATCTGATATTCTGAAACAGCTCAGAGACAGATTGACCTCCTCAGACACAATAATTAGAAGACTTCACCATTAAAACCAATACACGAGAGGCACAAATGATTATAATGTGTTAATTAAAAGCTTTTAATAATTCCAGCATGGTAAAAAGCTATACATTATTAAAATACATGACTATTATCCAACATAAATACAATACAATGTGATTAAAAAATGGGAACACATTTTAAAACTTAAATACAATACAATTATTATAAATATGTTCAATTCAAATACCTTAATATTTGACAATATACACTTTTTTAGTTGTTGTTGCTATAAATGCAAATAACGTTTTTACTGGCCTTCAAAGTAACGCTGGAAAAGTTCATAAAAATGACAAAACAAACTTTATTATTTTTATTTTTCACATTCAGGGAGGTATTTTTTTTCTCCAAAATAATGAACTGTTTGGTCTCAACATTATGAGAGGGATGGAAGATGTCAGGTCTCTGTTGCGTATTTATCGTCCTTAATAAATTACAAACACGTATGTAAATATTTAAAAATAACTTTTTGGAAACACCTTTTGATTCCTTGCCAACGTTAAGTCTTGTTTCCTGACTGCAGTATTTGTGGTACTCTTAGTGAAAAGCAACCTGTTCACCTGGATCTCTTCAGCTCATAACTCTGAACACATTCCAATATGAAACAGCAAATCATAGTGACTGAATACATTCTGTAAAACAAGATGATCCAAACTGAACTGTTCACACGTTCCTCACAATAAAAATAGCTCTCATAGCTCACGTCTCTTTTTGAACTGCAGCCAGACACGCAGGCAGTTTCCTCACAGAGGCGTTTCAGCCCATCCGTCTTTGTCAGCTTTAACCGATCCACACCTGTCAGGTCTGTTTACTGCAAACTGCTAAATAAAACCTGCTTTAACTCACCCTAAAGTCCCATTTAATTTAAGACACTTCACCCGAATTTGCTCCTGTGGGTATTGTCCACAGTACATGTATAATATCAATGTGTTCTTGTAAAAGCGCCTCGATGACTTTGAGGTGTGAAGATGGGTGGTGTGGCCCGCCAGCGCTGCGTCTGTAAAGCCGTTGTGTCCTTGGGCAAGACACTTCACCTGAACTTGCTCCTGTGGGTATTGTCCACAGTAGACGACCATTACATGTATGTATGATCTGTATGTGTAATGTGTATTTGTAAAGTGCTTTGAGAGTAATTGATAAAGCGCTATAATAAATATAAGGATTATCATTATTTTTATTATTTACTGAATCACTAAAACAACATGAACGGACTCAAATACATTGCACATCAATTGAAAGTAAAATAACAGAGATACTGTGAAATATATCTATAAAGCATCTCGAGTACACAATATAAATATACAGAATAAGCACAATATAACAGACCAACAGAGGGGGGAAGGAGTGGAGTACAAATAATTCGTTACTTAAGTACATTTCTCTGGTATCAGTACTTTACTCTACTACTTATTTTTCTGACGACTTTCTACTTTTACTTCTTACATTTTGAACACAAATACCTGTACTTTCTACTTCTTACATGTTGAACACAAATACCTGTACTTTCTACTTCTTACATGTTGAACACAAATACCTGTACTTTCTACTTCTTACATGTTGAACACAAATACCTGTACTTTCTACTTCTTACATGTTGAACACAAATACCTGTACTTTCTACTTCTTACATTTTGAACACAAATACCTGTACTTTCTACTTCTTACATTTTGAACACAAATACCTGTACTTTCTACTTCTTACATTTTGAACACAAATATCTGTACTTTCTACTTCTTACATGTTGAACCCAAATACCTGTACTTTCTACTTCTTACATGTTGAACTCAAATACCTGTACTTTCTACTTCTCTCATTTTCCAAACAGCTGGTTCCTTTAGTTTGAATGTGTGTTTGGTGGCGTGATCATTATTATTTAGAGTCATTGCGTGCCTATTGATTTGAACACGATGCGTGTATCCATCATTTCCTGGTCTTCTCTAAAGAAGAGGGACCAATGGAAACGTTGTCATGAAGCTTAGCGCAAGTTCAAGAAGGAAGACCATACCCCTGGTGTTACACGTCACTGCAAGCTCTTCTCCCATTAAGTAATCAGGGGCGGGTACTCCCCAGCTAGCAATCATTGCACCTGCTAAACCCTTTAAATCTGCTCTTCCCTCTCTGTCAGTTGTCATTTCAGGTGTCAACGCACAACTCGCCTCCACCCCTTCGCCTCCTGTCTCCTAATTCAGGGCCAAGCTAATCCTTCTTCCTCCAAACCAGACCGAACCATTATCACCACCACCAGTGTCTAGACCCCGGGGGGTTCATCGGAGCGGTTTTCCCCTCCTGAATGATATCCTACAAACCGGGGCCTAATCTCCAAACATCAGTTGATTCATTGTTGTAATCTGTCAATCATAATTTTCTATACCACGTGTCCGGTATTAAACATGTATTTCATACATCACGTCTCTCATGATTGAAATGTTGCCGTTGTTCAGCATGGAAACATTAATTAGCTAACAATGACATTATTGTTCTATTAATATAAAGGGAGGTCAGGTACTCTTTAAAACAGCTGGTAGCTATGGGTACTTTTTACTTAAGTACATTTCAAAGCTCATACTTCTTTACTTTGACTTGAGTAAAGAAGTTTAGTCAGTACTTCTACTTTTACCAGAGTATTTTTAAACACGAGTATCTGAACGTCTACTTGAGGAAAGGATGTGTGTACTTTTGCCATCTATGCAGACCAACATACTACTGACACGATGTAATATAGGACAGTGTTATGTTTAATTGAATACATTTGTATCTTAAAGGTCCCATGTCATGCTTTTCCCGGTTATTACCCGTCCCCTTGTGTGTTATGAAGGTTTTTATGCATGTAAATGGTGTGCAGAGTCAAAACCCTCAAAGTACACCCTGTAGCGAGTAAAACTCTAACACAGAAAATACCTCCCCAAAATGCCTCGTTGGAGATACGTCATTGTCCATTTGATTCTTCCGGGTACGCATGATGTCATGCTGATCTCTCCTCCCTGGCTGCAGGCTGATAACAGACAGTTGGGATCGCGGCGAAATTCTCTCTGCAGACCCATTCTCTCTGCAGAC